CCCCCCCCCCCCCTCACCCCCAGGAAAATAAACATCAGTAATGTATTGGGATTGATGGATTGTCAAGATTTCTAGACCCTTTAATCTAAGTTCCCTTTTATAATATTGTGTAAACGTGTTACCACAGAGCTTCTTAAACTACCTTTGCAACACAATGGAGTTGTTGTATGTTGCCATCATGAACACAGAACTCAAAGTCTCCTTCTGCAGGGGAAGTGAAGGAAGGATGCCACACCACCTCACAGTCAAGCTCCTTCTGTGGCTCAACTGTACCTGAAGGGCACACAGAAATGGTCACATTAATATTCCTTTAAAAGGCTGATACTGCAAATAAATAAAAGTAACAAACAGCAGAAAACATATGGTTTTAAGACCAACTTTGGAAGTCAAAAAATTGTTAATCCTAATTGTAAGTCCATAATACCTTAAAATAAAGTTACCAAAGAATCAGATCTAATTTCTGGTATTACTTGTAGGACACACTCTTACTTTCTGCAAATTCAAATGGTCCTCTTGCTGTTGGATTTCAAAATATCTAAGAGACTGTTTTCTTAATTATCTTTTGCCTATAACAATACTTGGGGGCGCTGTTGAGACACTTCTTGAAAAGAAAGTGTACTTTTAGAATAGAGAAAATGGGGATAAGACACACAACTAAAACAACATAGAAGATAAATGTTCAAATAAAAACTGGGATGGTTCAAAGACAGTACCTGTAGCAGGGCGAATAGAAAAGCTGATGCCTTTCTCTGTAAATATCGGTCTCCATGTGAACTCTGCAGCCTGGTTACGGCAGTTTCGGAGTGTAATCGAGCTCCTATATCCTGAGTGGGCTAGTAAGCCGGGACAAGGCCTGAGGACCAGCAAGGTGGTGGACAGTTGTAGAGCCACAGGGACAACATGTGCCTGGACCAGTATCTGACCAGGATGCTGCTGGTTTACAGTGTAGGATACAGGACTGCAACAGACCAGAAATACTCATTAATACATCACAGCAGTTCTTTACACAGAAGGTCAACCCACATAATGGTCTGCTGTCTCTTCACACCTGTAGAAGTGACCCAGCTTGTTGCTCTGAAAGGTCAGAGGTACGGTGGTGTGGGAGCATGGTGGCAGGACATGGGACAGGGGTGAGGAGCCATGGAGCTCAGGACATTCCACTTCCAGCTGCACCCAAATGTATGTTGAGAGACGATTGGTCAGCTCCAGTTTCTGAATGCACACTGAGTGCACACACACCTCACCAAAGTCCACTAACAAAGGACCTAATCAGGACAGAAAAGCATTTTTTAACACACTTACACTCACATCAATTAAACAATTCTTTACAATTCAACAAACCCTGAACAGATGTAGAGTGTGTTATAGTGGTTGAATTTTCACAAGTATCTGTAATACATTTTTAATTGTTTGAAACAGTGACTGGAGCGGTTGTGACAATCATTTCTAACCTATAACAACATGGCAGAGAGCGTGAGCTGTCAGAGTCCTGTTGCACTCTGCCCTCTCTTGGTCATTGCAGGGAACCGCACCTATAACCTCGGAAACCTAAAGTAAACAGGTGATCGGATTAGGCAAAAAAACACACACAAAAAAACCAAACAGTTTCCTTGAATGAAACTTAAGTGAACACACTCGCACACAAACGTGGATTTTGATTTAGGCCTGAAAAGACACACTTGAATCAAAATCCACTTTCCAATACATGTCAAATTCAAAGTAAACATTCTAAAAAGTTAGATAAATTAAATATTTGCTAATTAAAAACTGAATCACTAAAAGCTCAGAAACATGAGATTTTCAACATACATATTATTTTAAAATGTTTTGTCTTTCACAATTAAAGTATGACTCTTCTAAAAGTTCTAAACCAAATGTGAGAATCCTGATTAAAGGTATTTTTTATTTGATTAACCTGAGGTTTGTTGTTTTGGTTTGTAGCTGTCCCCTCTCTGAGCCAGCTGTACTTGTTTTGTGTCAGGGTGTCTTTCTCATTCAGTTTTGTCACAAGGATGTCACTGATATCTATGTCACGGATCCGAAGTTTAGGAGGAACAAGCCCTTGAGCAGGAACAAGGTTGATGTCCACTTCACGCTCTGCTTTTTCCTCCATTCTAGACAAAACCAAACAAACAAAAAGACAATTCTAAACAGAAATGTTTTTATTATTATTGACTACAACACAGAAAAAAAGACACATTTCTGAAAGACTGAAGTGTCCCTTACTCTTCCTTGATTCTCGACAGCCGCGTCTGCCTCAGCTGTTTGAAGAACTCTGCATAGAATTGTTGGTTTCTATATTTCTGCTGCTCCTCCTCCTCAGTGAGATCAAAGTTGTAGCTCACTTCATGATAGCGGGTATCACATGGGGACGCAGTCCTAATGTGTAAATATGACAAACACGTATTAGTAGAATTAATTAAAAAATGAGGGTGAATCAAGGTGGTCCACTGGATACAACCATGTAGACCATTGAAGATGAAATTAAATGCCATATTTAGCACTAGTTTTGCAAGTTTTAGCTAGCATGTAGCAGCATGAAGCACACAACACATAGCAAACCAGTATATATATATATATATATATATCATTATAATTTAGTGATTTGGTTCTTTTTTTTTAGACATGAATGTTTGTATGAATACATGTTCTAACAGTTTTCGCATCATGTAAGCCAGCAATATATGGCGTTTTATTTTGATAGTCATCCAGTTCACGCCAAGCAAACCTTGTTAACACCATCAGTCTCGATTATTTGGGCTTTATTGGCAGATTGGAATATTGTGAGTGGCATTGAAGGCACCAACAAGGTCTTTTCATTGTTGATAAATGTTGATGTTCGCAGTTTTTGACTCTTTTAATATGAGGATTAAACAGTAAAGTAATGAAATACAATAAAAAGATGGAACTGAGACAAAGACTAATGACATACAACAACAATGAATACAACAACAACAACACTTCAAGTGTGTGTTTTCTCCTACCTGTACTGTCTCAGTGTGGACACCTGCTCAATGGCCTTGGTCAGGAAGTCCTCTTCATCTAGACATTGACTCTTCTCTGATTTGTTGGTTCTTTTTGTGTTGAAGGCATTGGCAACATCACATGTTCTCAGATGACAGCCTCTCTGCATGCTAACACCTGGGATTGAATGAACAAGAGCACAACAAATTAGGCTTTCAAAGTGAACCAATTCAAGATAAAAGGAACAGGGTTTTAGCTTGGTCTTAGATAATTACTGATGAATTTACTTCGTTGGCCTATAGTTCTAATAGAGTTTGTTTAGAGTCTCACGGATACATTTAAATCTGTTTCTAAATCCTGAGCAAAGCAATGTATCAATTATTTAATATTAACATACTATTTTCTCTGAACTGGGATCATTGGGGGTATTTTTAATTAATATTATTACATTACATTTCCTTGACAAAGAAGTGTACATCTACAGGTTTTTCCAGAAGAAAATACTGCTTAATACTGGCTTAATGGAGGAGATAAAGTGTCCTGAAAATTATGTTTCCTTTGATATGATTTTTATTTCTTCCCCTTTGTTACAAACCTGCTTATTTACAAAATCAAAAGTACTATTTTTATTCAAAAATGTAACCTCTTGTGATATAGGAACAGATAGACAACTCATTATTTACCAGAGGTGGGTTTAGAGGCACTGAAAACATTTTCACTGTGGGAGACAGCTGACAGGTGTAGAGTGACACTGTGGAAGCTGCAAAGCTTAAGCTGGGTGGCATCCATGATGTCACTACTCTGGTGAACTGGACCCAAAACATCAAGTATCTGAAACACCTGGAAGCTCCCGAACTGGTGGGCGGTGAAAGTTAAAACGACATCCTGGGCGCGGCAAAAGAGGGAAACAAACAAAACATCAACATAATAAGGCACACACAAACCCAGAGATCACAATACAACACCCTAACCACATTCAACCAGTCACCTGGCACTGTCCAGGAGCTATGGTGCCTTTGACAGGATTGGTGGTAAACTGTGCTAATTTGCGGAAGTGGAATTTGACGGGAATTTGAGTGCAGAGGTTCCGCAGCACACACAGCAGCTCAGCATGCTGGCCCACGACGCAGGCTGGGAAGTCAAATTTGTGAGATGGACTGGGTACTAGTGACACAGGCAATCCAGAGCCAGTCACAGCCAGTTCCACACTGGAGTTACCTGAAATGGATGGATTTAACAAAAGAAGGCAGTGATGATTTGACAAATACATAAACAAATGCCATGAATATTTTGAAACCTAAAAACTAATCCCCTGAGTTTCTTCAATACTCCGAGTCAGTCTCCCAGTTGATCACGTCAGCTAATCAGTTCTGACTTGTTTTTAGGACTGGTGGGTCTTAATAACAAGTTGTTCGTGCTTGTCCAGGATCATGGACTTATACTTCTAAACAGTAGGCGACGATTTGCTTTTTTTTTAACAAGGGGACTGCGCCTTGTTAACTTAACTAACTGCAGCATCCCTGCTCTGATGGCAGGTTAACATTTTCGTCATTTTGCTAACAAGGGCGACACCCTTCCCTTAACCCCCCCTCGAATCTCCTAGTGGCTCTTAAATCCACATCCCAATGTTACTTTTAGGATCCAATCCCAGGATCCAATCAAGGGGAGTCTGAAGGTTTCAGAGAGTTGTCAACACCTGAATCAGATTTAAGGACAGATTGGATGTGTGTAATTGTGTACCACTTTGATGAGTGAATCCATGTTTGCTTCCTGCTGTCTCAAAGAGCAGGAAGAGACAATAGTCTTGCCGGCTGCCTGAGTGACAGTGCCTTGTCCTTTCACTTGTACTAAAGAAAGGCAGAACATTTGGAGTTATACATCGATCTGACTCTTAGTCAAATAGCACTAGATTAAAATAGCTGAAAGCTAAAATCATTTTAGCTTTCATTTTTAAAATCATGTTTAGGGTATTCTTTAACAAGTTTAATGCAATTTCTCAATGTTATTTCAGTCTAACATTTTTCTGAGAATATTTCTGATTTATGCTTGGTGGATGATGTTTTTTGTTGAATGTTTGAAATCACTGCTACACACACCGCGCATACACACCACTGCCAGACTCACTTACCATTTAAATACAGGGCTGAAGCGAATCACCACAATGGTTTTTTCGTATGCTTGCAGTCGACCCTGTTGAGGAATGCAAAACATGACCCGAGAGCCTGGGCTGCTGTTCTCCTTTGACTCCAGTAGGACAGCGTCAGTGCTCTTCTGTAGATTTCTTCCCTTCAAAAAGATACCAATGTTTAACTCCATTGTCATTTATACTCCACGTAAAATCACAATAAGATGTTCAAACTACAAAATAAGCACAAACTAAGCCCTTAGAAACTTTAATACCTAGAATAGCTGAAATCTAAATGGGAAAGAAAACCTCGACTTGGACTGAACAGAAAGTTTACCAAGTGCCAAAGGCATGGACCAAACCCCAGAGCTGCAAATTGTCATCATTTTCAGTAGGATCAGTGCAAATGGAGAAACAATTTTCAAAAGAAGATCTAATGTAGCAGTGGCCTAATGTGCAGAATATGAAAAACACTAGTCAACAGGCCACGCTCCCACACCTGTCAGTCAGGTCTTCCAGGCCTATCATTGTGGTCTACTTCACCTGACTTTATGTGCTGTCAACATGTGCTGTAACAACCATAAGGTTCATCCTTAGTGGATTTTCTGAAACAAGAGCCGACAGCAGAACCTGGCTCTTTGTATGAGCAGGTCATGTAGGATGACTGTGCAGTGGCAGTGAAAATGCAAACATTTGAAAAATACAAAAACATGTAAAGCAAATTAAAGAGTAGTACTTCGACATAACTATGAATTACTATTTACCATGGCTGTCAAAAGATTTTAAATCTGATCAAACACATGGTAGCTGTGGATTAGTCATAATTATTCTACGTAAATCAACATTCCTAAATATAAAATGTTATATAAAAACGTTTTTTTTTCTGTATTTTAAAGGAACAGAAAGACAAACCACAGCATATAGATGTGTTTAACACCTGTTTTTATTTTGGATGGGATCATTAACATACAAAAATGTCAAAAACATATGCATAAATATAACTATAAATTTAGCTTTATAGAGTTAGTGGATTTTTGAGACGGCTTGTAGAAAATAAGACTTCACTGAAGGTGTTGTCTTCAACAACATCTACAGTCTCTCATTATCCACTTGTCCACAGATTGTCAGACATAGACTGTCTTACTGCCCTGCGCTCAGTGAGGTTTGTCTGACGCAAGCTGGTTAATCATCTCAGGTAATAGCCCCACTATTTATATTTCTTAGACTAAAAGTGTGATTTAGTTTATGCAAAAGATAAGGGGAAAAACATAACTTTTATTTGATGCCAATACATTTTTTAGGCTAAAATTCAAGGTGTGTCGCCAGAATAAGAAATTGTCTTTTTATTAAACTCACCATTTCAGTCCCAGGAGCAGAATCCTGGGGCAGGCAGACCCAGTCACAGGCCTGAGGACTATTGTTTCTCAGAATCACATTCTCCACAGAGGATGTCCCAAAGTACAGAGGCCCAAACCTCAGACAGGACAGTGGATTACCCTATGGACAACAAACCATCATACTTTAGGCTTAAAAAGCTTGAGGGTCATGTACTATTACAAGCACATGATGTATTACCTTCATATCGAAGACCTCAAGCCGCTGATCTTCCACTTCAGCTATGACAGTCAGAAGCACAGGAAACCGGTTCTGAAGTTTCACCCTAGGACAAATTGGGTGCATGATGGTTACTTTAATCTATTACCATCACTTCAATGCTAAATAATGCTATCTATTACCATCACTTCAATGCTAAATACGTTAGAGTAGAATATTTTGCAAATAGGCTTAGGTGTTAAGTTGAAACCAGTGAACTGTTTTTTCTAAACACACTGTCTTACAGAGCTTTCTCCTTAACCTTCATAGGTCTGTCTGTGCGCAGGTCAACTTGAAGCCACTTGGTTGCACCACCAGCAACAACTCCACTGGAGGGTGACAACTTGATGGGGGAGTCTCCACTGTACTGCACGTGAAAAACACCTTTCACACACGTAAACATACAAAAATGATCAAAATGGAAGCATCTCAATCAGTCATACAAATACTGTCTTTTCCAAATGAGTGAGGAGTGACGTTTCAAGGTCTAATGTTGCTTGCAGGTCACAGTAAGATTTGCAAGGTATGCTATTTTGTTAATAAAATATGCAAAGATGACAAACAATAGCTACAATCTGAGAAGTACATTTAGCAGTCCTATTATTGCAACCACGGTGAATTTACCAATTGGGGTCAAATTAGAGACTAAATTATTATTAATAATAATTTTATTATTATTAGTTTCTTCCAGAAACTTAATTTGAGCTTATGGATTTCAGGAAAAGTAGAGGGCAACATGTAATGAGTGATGCTTACTGTAAGGTGGTACAACAAAGATTTTAAACCTTGTTAAAACCTTGATGGTATTCATGTCAATACTGCTAATGTCAATGAAACAACATGCAGAATGTTGGGTTAACCTGGTGCTGCTCCTTGATTGGTAATAGGGTGGTGTTTGCTGATGATCTCCCTGCTGGCAGGGACACAGCCAAAGTCCACCAATGAATCCATCTGGAGGGCACAAGCCCTGGGAAACCTAGAAGTACCAAGAAAACATTTACATGAGAACAAAGTTGGTTCATAGTTTAGCTGTTAAGATGTAATAATTTATTTGCCATAATGTGGCTCTGACAACACTCACACTCGCAGTGGGATTTCAATCGTTTCCATATCATCTGCATGGACCAGTAGACGGTCTCTGACCATTTCCTCATTCTGTGGGGTGAACTGCAGCACACCGCTGACGCACAGACCCGGAGCCACGACCGCAGATGGAGTAGTTACAGTGAACTTAAACAACTTCAAGAGATAAACACAAATGTGTTAATTTTTTTCATCATAAATTATGTTCGTCCTGGAAAATGTTATGAATGGTTTTAGTAGCCAACATCTGTTTCTACATCAAGTGGCTAACATTTGGCTAGCAGGACACAGATTAGTACCGAATCTCCCAATTCTCCTAAATTTGCCTGGATTGGACCAGAGAGATTATCAGAGAAGTTTGATTGGTTTGACGTAACCCCGGAAGTTAACCATTGTTTGTTCTATTTATGCTTATATGTCAAAATATTAAATTCCTGGTCGGGGTCACTAAAGTGGTGACGCCATTCATGTGATTATAAAAGTTTTGCTACAGTTTTTTTTGTTTATATTACATTTTAAAGGCCCACATTGTTCTGAAATTGTTGATATGGACATGTGCAGTGTATCAAATATTTAATTACTCTTACCTTGAACCTGGGCTTTTCGATAATTATATTCCTGGAGACTTTCCCGACATTTCTTGCTGTGATAGTCGTTTTATAAACCTGTCCAACTCTGACGTCAGTAAAGTCGACAGACGCCGGGTCAACTCGAACAACACTTCCAGCCATTATAAAAGCCAGAAAAATATAACCAAAATTTAAGATAGCAAAATGCTGGCTTTCGATGATCTCCTATGGCATTTTTTGTCGCCCAACATTACCACTGTCAAACTCAACCTCGGCACCTCTGACGTCAAATGAAAGACAAAACAAATGATGAAAGGACTCTTTTTACGTCAATGAAACAGCAGAATAGATATAACATGAAAAATAATTAGTAATTTGATGTAAAGGTGTGATCTATGTTGAACTATCTCACATTGCATACCTGGTTGCCTGGCGACGGCTCCCGTTGCAGTGGCGCTGGTTTTTATCATTCGACAGTCCGGCGGTGGGCGGAGCCGTATTTAACATAACTCAGTTTGTTTTGTTAAATTAGAAACGCCCCCTTCGTTAAAAAACATTATTAAGATAAAGAATGTCAAGCCTATATGCAAACACTATTTTTAATTATTTAGGTAAATAAATTGTCCAATGAGAGAATGTTTTTTCTTTGTATTACTACTCAATATAATTTCTAGACCAGTATGCCAATGAGGCCATAGTACAAATATCTTGTTAAAAAACGTCACATGTTGCCATCTTTATTTTTGACTTGCCATGAAAAGAGGACCTTTTCGAACATGGACTTCATGTTCATGGAATTCAAACAGTGTACTGTAGGAATATTATCATGTCTTTCAAAATATTCAAGTAGAGAACCTTCCACATTGGTTAATTAATTAGCTGACCATCAGGATTTATTATCCAGCCAATGTTGTAAGAAATTGTATGCAGTTGTGTTTATAAATCATTAAAAAATATTATATTTGTAGTGAGCAAACTTTGACAATTACCAAATTACCTAAACGTCTATTACCATAATAACAGAACTTAATTAAAATATTTCAATGCTTGATTAAATACATTTATTTCACCAGAAAATTTGGTTCTGTAAGTTACAATCAAGATTACAAAAAAAAATTCACAAGCATACAGTATATGCCTTTGTGGAAAAAAAAGTTATCAGATTTATCTTGACATAATGACAAACAAATGATATAATAGCATTGTCTCTATTTTAAATTTTAAAACAAAAACAATGATCAAATAAAGTAATATGTTTACACTTTACAGACTACATCTGAAGTTTCCCAGATGTCATCGTCATACAAATGAGGTGCAGATATGGTAATATCTGTGGTGTTTGTGCCTGCCGTGTCTGTCACCCTCTGTGTAGAAAGTAAGTCTTGGTCGGCTAAACCGGCAGCTAAGTTTGTTTCTAAATCCCCCTGACTTTCAATGTCTCTGACTTCTGGGCCCATTTGTTCTGAGTTTCTTTCTCCCTCATCCTCAGAGACAGGCCTAGGTGAAGCCCTCACTTCCTGGGAATCAAAAGCCTGTTCCTGTCTTTTATCATGCATTTCTATGGATTTGAGCTCCCCATTTGGTTGAGGTCTGTCCAGGCCAAAAAAGTTGTTGCGGACAATATACCTTACACACTGCAGGAGAACGTTCCTCTCGTGGCGAATATCAGGAGCAAGGAGCTGCAGGAAAAAAAACAGCGAATATCAGGAGCAAGGAGCTGCAGGGAAAAAAAACAACACACAGAGATTCAGAAGTCAGGCAGGAATCATGAAATATATAGAAAAGTAATTTAAAACATTAAAATTATATTGAAAAAGATCAAGCATGTATGTATGAGTATACACATATATATATATACAATTGAAATGCTACTAGCTAGCTTAATAAGCTAAATTTGGGGATTATTAAAATAGGACAACAATATTTTTGAAGGTAAATTTTCTTATATTCATTATTATTATAGCAAAAAGTTGGCATAAATATTAGGGCACCCAAGCCAGACAGTCCACCAACAACTTATAGTAATGTAATATAAACCTTTGCCAGAAACGTAAGATTAGTCAAAATAGCTAAAAATGTCAGCAAAACTAACATGTAATCTTTGGTGGACACAAATTACTTCACTATAACATAATTGCTTAAAGAAGTAAAAGAAAACAGTGGCCTGAAGAAACAGCTGGTAAGTGTCAACAAAAGCAGCGTCATGTTAGCTAAAATGGAGCAAATAAATGTCCCACACCGTAATGTTAACATAAAAAAAAACAAGTGTTTAACATTGATAGTGGTCCACAAAAAAACAAATATTCCTTAAGCCATGTCTGGTGTTGTTACCATCTCAAGTAGAGTTGGATGAGGTTTTTTCCCTGTGTCTTGTTGTTTCCCACCACATCTTCCTCTTCCTCTTCCTCTTCCTCCCCTCGCTTTTCCTTGTCCTCTTCTGCCGTTTGTTGTGTTTACGCCAGTGTTTCGCTCTGTCCCATGTGAAGACATTACCATGCTCGTGTCCTCTGAGTCTGATAGTAGAACCTGATTTTCTTGAAGAACATCTCTGATTTTTCGGACAGCCATGGCTGAAACACAAGGCAAATAATAGAAACAACAGCGTGGCTTTGCTTTGCCATGTAACTGCAACTCTTTCTGGTTTTAACTCACCTTCCGGCTCTGAGTCACTTTCACTCCCACTTGAGGAGCCGTAGTTGGCCACCAAGGAGCCCAGGGCGGAGCTCATCTGTTTAGGGGCTACAAAGACACTGGCCATGGGGTCAGCAGCTGAATCCTCCTTGTCGGAATCTGGAGGAATAGTTAAAAGTGCAAAATTAGACAGTTTCTGCACCTGGTATATATGGTTCACAGTTCAACAGCCTAGTGGAAGTTAACTGATTTTCTGTTTTTAATCCAACATTGGTAAACCTCAGGTGTAAACTAAAGAAAGAATGCCAGTCATGTAATTACAATACATTTGTAAGCTAATAAGAATAATCTTAAACTAATTTAAATATTTCATTAGACTAACTTGTAATCTTTCTTTTTTTACATTTAGCTTTTTATTCCATATTGTATGTCAATCTCTTCTAAACTGACAAAATAAAAAACTCAGGTTATCTTTTGTCAGTTCTACCTTACAGTACTTTAGTTTGAACTTATGTTCTAATTTCAGTGTTATGTAGAAAGCTCTGCAGACCATGGGAGCACAGATTTAATTTAAATCCTTAAATGACAATAATAGTTAGTTTAGCTAAAACCCGTGCACATTTAAGTAATTCCTGAAATAGGGGTGATCTTTTACACTTAAGTGGACATTAATGTGACAACCTGCACCAACAAATTAAACAGCTGCTTCCTTAATTTACGTTTTATCGTTTGAGACTGCACACCATGGTCACTATTCACGAGCACCCCCAATGGGTCTGCATCTCTCAGGGTCTGTGGAGGTCGTGAAGATTTGTCTGAAGCACTGCTCTCCCGTTGGTGTGGGCCTCGTGGGCTTGGATCTTGGAACATTCTGTTATCCCATCTGTGGCCCCGGCCTCGGCCACGCCCTCGACCTCTGCCCCTCATCCGTCTGTGGATGTAATTGTTTCAAAGTCAAGATTCCAATGCTTTTTTGTAGTAGCAACATGTTGTATGAAAGTTTTTTGTTTGTTTTTTTTTTACCCAAACTGAGTGTTGTCTAGGACAGCTCCCACTTCGTTCCTCACCTCCATCACCTTTCTCTTTTTTTCTATACACTCAAGAGTTGGATAATTTCTGTTACAATAAAAAAATCAAGACAAAGAGTATCTTTTAGTAAACTATGAACAAACTTCTTGGGTCAACTTTTAGCTATTTGGTTATATTTGTGTTTTACATGAAGCCATTCCTTGGTTAACTTTCAGTCATTATTTGGCTGCTATCAAAGAGTCTCTTATCTTAAAGTGTAGCGAGATAACAGTCATTTACATTTCACTCTCATATTAATAGATATAGAAAGATATACATTTTTGCCATTTCTTTGTTAACCTAATTGACCTTGTAACTTTTCGTGTAACTTTCTTTAGACTTCCATTTGGTGTTTTGCTAGATTTGCTCAAATGTCAGAGTTACGCTGTGGCCATCTTTTGGCTGATTTTTGCTATTATTGACAAATTTACAGCATTTTAATTTAAATTGTATTTAGTTTTGATTGCTAGTCTGTTGCAGGGATATTGAACATGTTGAGGGTGCTGAGGGAGAGAGTAGCATGTTTAGTTAGCATGCTTGACTTTCCTTGCCAATGTAGAGCTAGTTAAAACATACTGCTGTGAGGAAATTTAACCCAGCACAGGCCACTGCACCCAGGATGAGAGAAACCTGAGTTGCAGCTATATTCCCAAGCTGCATTTCAAATCCAAAAAGCTGCATTTTCTGTGAAATACTCTAATTTTACTACTACACTATAATCCATCTGATCTGTGATCCCACATGTAGTAGACAATGACTTAATAAAACATGTAAAATAATAAGAGGTAGATAATAATCTGATCTGTGATCCCACATGTAGTAGCCAATGACTTAATAAAACATAAAACAAAATAATAAGAGGTAGATAATTAATTAAACACATTTCTGTCTGTAAAACATGAGCATTCTAATTGAAAGACATTTTACTCTTTCTCAATCAAGTATCCTCTCAACTTTGTCACTGGGTTTGTGATACTGACTTGCGTCTCTCCTCTCTCCATTTTGAAATCTCCTCTGGTGTGTCCAGTTTGATTCTCTTCTTTCCTGGTGCATGAGTCTGTTGTAAAACGCAGAGACACAGTCTCATATCAAATTAGTGAAAGTCAAATACAGACTGTGCAGATAATTGTCTCACTTACATTTTTCCAGTGGATGCTGACAATTTTTTCATGAGCTCTGAAGCTGCAGTCTGGCACAGAACACTACACAAATGAAAGCTCAGAATGTTAGGTGTTTTCTCTGAAATTAAAAAAAACATTAAAAGAGTCCAGACTCTGTTTGAGTACCTTTACATGCTGGGACATGTGTTCATCATATTTCTCCATGTTTTTGAAGCCACGGTCACAAGTGTCACAGTAATGGGGGAATTCTGGTTCTTTCTTTTGTTTCTGCTGTGGAATGACACATCTGTTAGGAAACAACATTGCACATGCTGTTGCACTGCACCATGGATATTTTGAGGATTTTACCTTTTTTCCATGGTTAAATGGTGGTTTATAGTTTTGTTTCCAGCCATACTGTCCACTCTGATGTCTTTCAGGGCCAAACGTTTGACCTAGACACACAAAGACAATGAGGAGTGTGAGTTTTTTGCTACAGTCATTGTTGCTATCAGTAACCATGTCACTTTATCGTTATGTCATGCATTGGTTAACTTTTAACGGTCTCCTTTGCAAAACTACACCTATACTCCTACATATTTTGGAACAATTTTGCCTTAACATAATAAAACCTTGCTTACATTAAGCTACTGTATATTACTTGCTTCCATTACATTTCGTTTTTAAAGGAATGGAGTCCAGTTTTGGGTACACTCAGTTAGTCTTGGGCATGGTTTAGTTATCTTGTTAACATTAGTTCTCTAGTAGCGTGTTGTTGTCTTGGCAGAATTATTGATAACATGCATCACCTTAGATTATTTCACTTTAAGTTATCCTTTAGCTAAATCAGATGTTCCCCTTGTTATAAGATAAAGTGGGTCTATTGACCACGTGTATGTCAAGGTCGGTTGTTTTCCGGACCTAGTGAGGAGCTAAGCTCGGGTGGGTTACCTTGATGCCATCCTGCTTGCTGACCGTAGCTCCACCTGGAGTCGTGGGGAGCCTCGCTCCAGGTCCACATACTGGCATGGAAGTTGCTGGTGTGGGCCTTCTGCGAGTCATGCTGCTGTGTCTGTTGCTGGAAGACATGGATGGAGTTCGGCGGAGGACTGCCGAAGTCAGGCGGAGGGTAATGTCGAGATGTGTCCATAACCCTGGGTCACAGAGTCAAGTTGTGTGGAGCACTACTTAAATGTGGAGCTCACATGTGCTTGTTTTGCTCCAGCAACTGCGTCACTTCCACGGGAAGCGGAACTTATAACTTATAAGTGTTTAAATTCATTTCCAATTTTGTTTTCGAATATAACATCAATACAGAAGCGATTGATCTAATTATGAAATAAAGAAAATATTTATTAGTGAAAGGGGACATTTTAAGAGAAAATAATATTCTGTATGCTGCTCTTCAAACATTATGGCGTTGTAAATTATAATATTTATAGTAGGGCTGTCTTGTGCATTTTGTGTTCTTCTCTTTTTAGGTTTTGGTGACTAAGGAATCTGCATTTCGACTTTTCTTATATTAACGTATTTTAAAAAATACACTCGAGAATTCAAGTACATGAAACATTGTACTTGTGAGAAGGGGCGGAGATTGGCCGAGCAGATCTGGCAACGCAGCTATTTCCTGTCGCTCTCATTTTCGCCGCGTGTGATTCAGATGTAGAGAGGCAACAACGTGGGGACAGCAGTTTAGTTTTTTTTAAATAAAATAAACCAAGCGTCTTTGAAAATGTTGGTCTTATTTGAGACCGCCGCTGGTTACGCGATATTCAAGGTAAGTTTTGGATTTGAATTCTCTGCCATTTTGACTTTATTACGCATTTGTTACATGATTTAGCCTAGTGGCTAACTTTATCTACATGGTTGTATCTTATAATTAATTTTATTCCAACACGGGTGGTGGAAAGCAGGGTCAAGACTTATTTATTTAATTTACGCAAACCAAGTAAACTCGTATTTAGTTGTTTTGAACCACACGTTTCGCTGTTTTAGTCAAAGGTTAGCATTAAGTATTAGCGGGCCCTATAGCCACGTGTGTGCACACTAATGAAAACTTCAGTAAGACTTCCACATACTATGTAAAGGAATCTAAGGAAAAGTAAGCTAGAGACCGTGTAAACATCAGGCTTTAATAAAGTACAAGAGCCGATGTTGATATCGCTGTCGGTGTTCATCAGAAAGCTAATATAATCAATCTAAAATTTCTGCACGTGATTCAGGTCCTTGACGAATCCAAGCTGAAGCAGGTCGACAGTCTCTACAAGGAGTTTGAAACAATTGAAAAAGCAAATAAAATGTAAGTGCTACTGGTATTCCTACGTCATTGTTTTAAATTATCTGAATAGAGTTAAATGTTTTTGAAGATTTGCAAATGTGGGTTTTTTTGCACGAAGCGTCTAACTATCCATGTTGTTATAGAAGCATTTTCTGTAAAGACAAGTTATTTGAAGTGTCTTTTTGTTTCTACTTAACGAATTATACATATTCTCCCTTTGCCTAAGAAAAAAAGCTAAATGTGGTGTTAGTTAACATGGTATTGGGAATGAATAAATAGAAATTTATATATTTCATTTAAACCCTTATAAACATGCATGTATGGATTTGACATAACATGGTCGTTGTTTTTCTTGTTTCAGTGTGAAGCTAAAGCACTTTGAGAAGTTTCAAGACACAACAGAGGCATTAGCAGGTGATTACACATCTTGACATTGTAGACTGCAACAGCTAAGTATTTAAAAAAAATTCTAACTCCCAAAACCAAGTTTCTATGATTTGTTGGTGTCATAAATAGGTAAATAAATTATGTGCACTCTCATTGTGCTCTAGCGAAATATTGGTCTGTGATGTGTTTTTTTTTTCATCTGATGCACAAGTGAAGAATATTTCTTTTCGTCACTACCACTGAGACCACGTTTTTAATATCAGCATGAAATGATAAAAAGATTTGTTTCACTTTTACTAAGAAGGAAATTATGAGTGGATGAGTAATCCATACAAATAATTATCACATTTAAGTGTCTCAAAAACAACATACTTAATGTGTTGTGTTATGCATGCATTACCTCAGATTAGTAATTCAAGTGTTTGTTTGGTTTTTTTTTTTTTACAGCTGCCACTGCTCGTTGAGGGGAAAATTAACAAGAATTTGAAGAAAGTTCTAAAGAAGGTTGTTGCCAAGGAGGCACATGAGCAGCTGGCCATCAGTGATGCAAAACTGGGTGGAGTCATCAAAGTAAGTGACAAGATTTTTAATGGGCATTTTCTAAATTTGACTGTATAATTAGTGGCACAGCAATATATTGAGTTTTTTATCAATAAAATTGTAGGAAAACTTTCAGCACAGTAAACACACAATGTTGTTAACATTGATAAAAATGATAGATTGCTACTGCAGTCGTCAACATTGTTATTGTAATATTATATATAATCCTAAATTAAGTAGTTCACCACTCTAATGTGTTTGTTGGACATGTAGGTAAACAGGTTGTGTCTTACAGGAAAAGCTGGACGTGAGCTGTGTCTACAGTCCGGCTGTAGCTGAACTGATGAGATGTATCAGGAGCCAAATGGAAGGCCTCATCACTGGACTTCCTGCCAGAGAGATCAGTGCCATGTCTCTGGGTTTAGCTCACAGGTTGGTAATATTTTATTCTTAATGCCCTATAAACATGAATGATGCCTGTGATTACATTTGCTTGTCTGAAAAAACAGCCTGTTGATTCCTATTAGCATTCGTCACTACCACTGAGGCACTTTGTTGCATAGAAAGTGTTGCTGTGAGTTCAGTTGATGTCATTCCCTCCAACTAATGTATTTGTGCTCCTGTTTTCTAGTTTATCGAGGTACAAGCTGAAGTTCAGTCCAGACAAAGTTGACACCATGATCGTTCAGGCCATTTGTAAGTAAAAGTTTTTATAACTGGTGAAATTGAGTTAAACTGCAGATTACGGCCTTTTAATGCAAATTCTAAAACTTGATCTAAAAAGTTTTAATTGTTTTGGTTTTTCTCAGCTCTTCTGGACGACCTGGACAAGGAACTCAACAATTACATCATGCGGTGCAGGGAGTGGTACGGCTGGCATTTCCCTGAGTTGGGGAAAATTGTGGCAGACAACTTGGCTTACTGCAAAACCGTCCGCAAAATTGGTAAGGAAATTCAGAAGAGTCGCACCTAAATGCAGGGTTATTAAGAGGTTAACTGAGGTTAATAAGAGGTTAATTGTCTTGTTTTTGCAGGTGATCGCACCAATGTGGCAGGCTCTGACCTGTCGGAACTTCTACCAGAGGAAATCGAGGCTGAAGTTAAACTTGCGGCCGAGATCTCCATGGGCACTGAAGTTTCAGAACAAGACATTGACAACATTAGGCACCTGTGTGACCAGGTGAGTCCTGTTGCCAAAAGGCAATTCTTTTGTTTTTTTTTTACCCCTCGTTCTGTGTCTGTGGTGATGATGTGGCAGTAGCCATTGTCCTGAAACAAATCCATGTGGGTTTATAGTCACTACCTCATCTGAACAGTCACCAAAAAGGACTGCTGCTTTGATCTTCCTAAGAAAAAATACACACTGCCAATGGCATGAATGCACTGTTGTCTAATTTATATTTCTGTTTCTCTATTAACAGGTGATTGAAATTACAGAATACCGCGCGCAGCTATACGACTATTTGAAAAATCGAATGATGGCCATCGCCCCAAACTTGACAGTCATGGTGGGCGAACTGGTTGGTGCACGCCTAATCTCTCATGCTGGTGGGTCATTAAGAAAAAAACTGTTTAAAAAAACAAAACAAAAACTTGCAGTGATGATTATGACTTCATGTCATCTTCCTGAAAACGTGATGGTACTAAGTCACTACCTCATCTGAGCTTATAATCTATATCTTCCTGTGTAAATTATCTTAAGTGCATTGGCATCAGTTGGGCTGTATTTCCTGTTTTGCAGGTTCTCTCCTAAATCTGGCAAAGCATCCCTCGTCCACAGTGCAGATCCTTGGTGCAGAGAAAGCCCTCTTCAGAGCCTTGAAAACCCGCAAAGATACGCCAAAGTATGGTCTCATATACCACGCCTCTTTGGTGGGCCAGACCAGCGCCAAGAATAAGGGCAAGGTGAGATGGGAAATCGGGTTTTACTATAAATGAGTAATGATGTCCACATTTGTGGAAACAACTAAGTGAGCAGAAAGTTAAGCTAGCCCTCGTTGTCTGACCAGATCTCCAGAATGTTGGCTGCTAAAGCTGCCTTGGCCATTCGCTACGATGCTCTGGGTGAAGACACAAATGCAGAAATGGGAGTGGAAAACCGAGCCAAACTGGAGGCCAGGCTGCGACAGTTGGAAGAAAAAGGGGTGCGTACCACTAAAAATGATACAATGGTTATCATCTAAGAGGAGCAATTTGTAGGATCTTGTGGGATTAGTGGTTAAATTTCACATGAAATTATTTTTTCAGATCCGAAGGATCAGTGGGACAGGCAAAGCCATGGCAAAGGTGGACAAATACCAGCACAAGAGGTAAGCCATCGTCCCTACAAGGTTCCTTTAGAGTTTCTTGCATTCAGCTCTGACATGCAAAAAATGCTGAAAACCGACCTTTTCTTTCCCCAAAAGTGAAGTAAGGGTTTATGATCCCTCTGGCGATTCTACTATCCCCTCAAAGAAGAGGAAGATTGAAGAGGTAGAGGAGGCTGTAACACCTGTGGCCAAATCCAAAAAGGCTAAAAGGGAGCCAGTAGCAGAAGGTGGGTGAACATCACACTTTGTTGGTGTCTAAGGTTGTTTTTTTTTTTGTTTTTTTTAACAACTACCCACTCCTGTGCCCTTTTGTTTTCTAGAGGAAGAAGTAGAAATGACAGAGGTGGCAGAAGAGACTCCTAAGAAAAAGAAGAAAAAGGAGAAGAAAGCTGCAGCAGAGGAGACTATAGAGGAGGAGGTGCCAGTAGCAGAGGTGAGCTCCTAAAAATGAATTAGAAAACAGCTTCTTTGTACTTTTTTTTAAACACCAGCTTCACTTTTCTTTACCCAGTCGACAGAAAAGAAGAAAAAGAAGCACAAGAAAGTGGAAGCTGCAACAGAGGAGGCTGAGGAAACAGAGGTGAGCCCTTTGAAATAAGTTCAAAGCCTAAAACCTGATTATTGTTTTTTGGTTTTTATTTTTACCACAACTGTTTTTTATTTTTCAGACACCTGTGAAAACAAAAAAGAAGGGGAAAAAAGAAACAGTTGCAATGGAGGAGCAAGAGGAGGAACCTGTAACAGAGGTGAGCACTTAGATATTAAGATATGTGACTGTTGGTTTGGGTTCTCTCGTTTTACTGTTGCTTTTCTTTCTTTGCAGTCATCAGAAAAGAAAAAGAAGAAGAAAAAGAAGGCTAAGGAGGATGAGGACTAAAAAGAATGAATGCATATTGTTGCATGTGTATATATATGTTGAGTTTTTATTTCATTTTAATTTTTTGTTTATATTTAGTAGATTTTTTTTTGCTCTAACAGGACTCATTTATTATCACGTGAAAGTGAAACATTTTGTTGTTGTTGAAAATATCAACAATTTAAAGGACGATGACATTTAAGTTCCAACCTCCCTTTGTGATTTCAATTCCATTGCAATCAGTTTTTGTCTAAGACTAAACATCTGCTCTGATGAAATAAAATATTTTGATTATGTAATTTTTTGTTGTTGTTGTTTTCACTGTTCATTTTCTGGTGCCCTGTTACATCACTCACAATAAAGATTGATGACATTCAGTATAGTTTACACTCTCTAGAAGTCCTTTTGGCAGGTTCTAATAGGCAGACGTAGTGTAAGGGACAATTACACAAACAACCATTTACACCTAGGAAGATAAAGGGTAGGTTTTAGTGTAAGGGAAACTGAATGTCAGTTACCAATAATCTTTCGCTAAGGTACATGGACTGACCAGCTTTCTGTGGATTTGAAAATGCAAAAAATGTTGACATCTTGCTGGAGGCTGAACCAGAGGTATCAGGGGAGGGGGTTTGTGGACTGGGAGTTTGAGGTCCCTTAACCCTTTGACAATATAAAAGTGGAAGAAAGTGTATACAGTCAATATTTAAGTTTGTATTCATAATACAACAAGGAGAAGAGTCTTACAAACATGACTCACTTTAAGCCAAGTGTGCACTCTCATAATGACATTTTAATTGTATGTACTCTTCAGTAATTCCATTCACTAGAATTTTACTGGTACTTGCCAAATGTAAAGACAATGTGCATTTAAACCTTAATCTGACGGTTGATCGACTACAGTCCATATAAAAGGGTTAAAGGATTTGATAAACAAATACGCAATTACGCAATTAAACTAGTCAAAACCGAGCAATTTTACAAATTAAATCATAGTAATTTTAGTGTCAAAAGCCTTTTGCACAGCAAAATAAAAGTCTACCGGAAGTTACAATCTATCAAAATAAGAACATAAAAAAAAATAATAAACGCCTAAAGGGCATAACAGCTTATTTAATGTAGTATGTGCGTCAAATGCGCCAGTACAGTAAGAGAACCTGTTCCAGAACAAATAATGTTGGGCACATTTTCAATCTCCTCAAAAAAATTTGTAGTTAATTTAACAGTCTTAAATTGCTATCAAAATTCTAAATAGTGCGGTTGAAAAGAAAACACCAATTTAATATAATTAAAAACAGCACAAAACAACGAATTCACCGTCGCCAGACATTTTAATTGATCAACGACAATATCGTGTGCATCGATCGGTGCGTTCTATCGGCGCTTAACTGCAATGCCTTGTTTACTCGCACATGGCAGTTAATGGTCGTCTCTCTGAGCAGAGTCCGTGTTCATCTGCGTTTTATCATTCCAAGACTTTGTAGTTAGGTGAAATTAACACAAAAGGAGAAAATAATGTCGCAGTTACAGGCGAGGTTCTTCACAGAAGACAAGAGGTAAGAACTGACGTTTTAAAAACGCAAACAAAACAGTATTGGCTAGCATGTATGGTAGCTAAAGTAGTCGTAAGTTCTAGTAAATGCTGGACCAGATTTTTTGCATAAATCAGTCCTTGTACATTTGGCGTAGCATAAACCGTGCTGAAAATCGTCCGTTGATTAAGGCAGCCTAGTACTGAAGCAAGAAGCTTAGTATGGAAGTATTACAATGATGTAGAGCTCTCCTAATTGTAAAGTACATGATTAACAAGAGGAAAACAGACAGAAGGGCAAGAAAAGAGGGGAGGAACAACATTTGGTTTACAAATAAAATTTAATATTTTAGGCTATACAAATAAATTTGATTTGACAAATACCTACAACTAAGGCAATCTTCTCAAAGAGAGAAATGACATTATATCATATCTAAACTGACCTCTGATCTGTTTGTGTGCTGGTGTTTTATCTTTTCAAGCAAGTATGTAGACTTGAACATGGTGGAGATGAGAATAACATGGATTGAACCAACCTTTGTGTTTACCTCCCATCGTTGTAGGTACATTGTGGACGATGTTCCGTTTTCCATTCCTGCCAGCTCTGAAGTGGAGGACCTTGGCAACATCATCAACAAGCTGCTGTTGGCTAAAAATGGTAAAGGCATCAGTTTGAAGAAATCTGTTTCCAGTTTCCAAGTCTTCTTGATTTCTTGAAATTACAATTCCGACATATGTTCTTTTTCCACAGCATCCCACAGCAAAGTGGAGTTTGACTTCCTGGTCCGGGGTCAGTTCCTGCGGACGTCACTCTCCTTTCACATGGAGACAGAAGGAATATCAACGGTAGCAGGAGTCTAACAATTATAAAATAAACAATAATTATAAGTTTAAGGAAGTATAATTAAGTTACAACCTATATATATATATATATATATGTTAGACTAGGACCAGATTGTGACATTCTGAAACGTCCTTAAAATAATTGTTTCTTACTGCCAGTAATATACAAAAAATACTTGTATGTGTATATTACAAAGTGAATGTGATGCTAGTAAAAGTGACCCTTTTGACCTCCGTACCTAACCTTAACATTGACCCTAAAACTCATGAACTTACGTCAAATAGCCACATAATAATCACACAGACACTGTCTGTTTCAGGAAGAAGTGGTTGAGATCGAATACGCTGAGAAAATTACAGCCCCGCAGCCAGAAGAGTGTATGATGCACGATGACTGGATCAGCTCTGTGGATGCAGACAACGAATGGCGAGTTAGCAGATTACAATACCAGAAACAAAAAAAATATATATTGTAAAGTTGGTACTAAACTGTGATTTTACAATAGCAAATTCCCTGCTGGTGTTTTTCTACAGGATCCTGACAGGTTCATATGACAAGACTGCCAGGATTTGGTCTCCGGAAGGCAAGGCCATGATGACAGTGGCAGGACACACAGATGTTGTCAAAGACGTAGCCTGGGTTAAAAGAGGTAAGCCGGAAATAGAGCTCAAAGGGGCTACTGACTGCACTGCTACTGCAGCCTGTCCAAAACTAACATGTTTTATCTGTTTGTTTGGCAGATGGTCTAACCTCACTTCTTCTAACGTCATCTCTTGACCAAACCATTTTGATGTGGGAGTGGAACTCTGAGAAGAACAAAGTGAAAGCAAGACACTGCTGTCGTGGACACACAGGCAGTGTGGACACTGTTGCCACGGACCCCACTGGCTCAAAGGTAAACAATAAAAATATAGTTGATGTGATGTGACGATTATTTTTTTGGAATCAAAACTGAGATTTTATGCCTGTGGTTGATGTCTGGCTTTCAGTTCAGCTCTGGCTCATGGGACAAAATGTTGAAAATCTGGTCAGCAGGTATGTGTCTCCAATGAACAATTAATGCTAAGCGCCACTGAAATGTTGGTTAAGTCAGAGTTGTCCTCTGCTCCCACTCCCAGTGCCTACAGATGAAGCAGACGAGGTGGAGGAACCCGCTGACAGGCCGAGGAAGAAGCAGAAGACTCAGCAGCTGGGTCTGACCAGAGTGAGTACCCAATCCAAATGTTGTATTAAAAAAATTAAACGACTTGTGTGACGTTTATTTTCTGATTTGCCAATCACAGACTCCCCTAATGACTCTTTCTGGACACAATGAGGCAGTGTCTTCCGTACTGTGGAGTGACACTGAGGAAGTTTGTAGTGCATCCTGGGACCACACAATCCGTGTGTGGGATGCTGAGACTGGTGAAATGAAGACGACGTTGGTAAGATACAGTAAAAATAGGGACGTCATCCCTATTTTTACATTTTTCATTTTTCCATTATTAGTTCATCCCCCTATTAACAAACTATTCAAATTATTTGCAAATAATTTCTACATTTCTCTATATACATCTATATGTATCTTTTTTGTGATAATGAAAACCCCATGAAATAACACCTGATTTAGTCAAAACCTGTGAATAAGTGCTTATTAGATGTTTACTTGCTTGTGATTGATGACCTCACTTAAGATAAATCAACATTTCTATATGTTGCTGGGGCAGTTGTCAATAACAGCTGGTATATGTTTGTATTAGTTTTTATTTGTGACAAATGTATATGACTGTATATGCACTATTAACATTTGCAACATATTTGTCCACAGACCAGCACTAAAGTGTTCAACTGCATTTCCTACTCACCTCTGTGCCGAAGACTGGCCTCAGGAAGCGCTGACAGACACATCCGACTCTGGGATCCACGCACCAAAGGTATGATTACTGTAAGAATGTTCTCATTCACTTTTTTACATTTTTGTCCAGTTCTGGATCGATCAAGAACTCACTGTCTTTTGCAGATGGATCACTGGTACTGTTGTCTTTGACCTCACACCATGGCTGGGTCACTGCTGTGAAGTGGTCACCTTCCCATCAGCACCAGCTGGTCTCAGGCTCAATGGACAACCTGGTCAAACTGTGGGACACCAGAAGGTTTGAGAACATCAGAAGAAATAGACGTTAAAGCCATAAATGGCATTGCTGACCAAAATACCTAAAGTAATATGATAAAAATATACCAAAAAAAAGGTTTGCACCAACAAACCTAATCCGATACTTACAACATCAACGTCCGGCTGAACTGAGCCGGCATTTTATTTGTCCACACAAGGCATTATTAGAGCTGTTTAGATTCGTGTTTGAATGTGTATGATGTTCTACTAATCTTTCCTTATTGTCATTCAGCTGTAAGGCTCCTCTGTATGACCTGGCTGCCCACGAGGACAAAGTGTTTTGTGTCGACTGGACAGAAAGTGGGGTGAGATACAGCCCGCTGATTTACAAATTCAATTAATTTTACGTAAAAAAGCAGATATGATGAACTTTCCTTTTTTTCTTGTGTTTTCAGCTGATGTTGAGTGGAGGAGCTGATAACAAACTCTACTCCTTCAAATACTCGGCCTGTCAGACAGATGCAGGGGCATAGTCCAGGACTCAACACCCCGTAGAATTTGTTCTTTATCATGCTCGTTGTGTCATTGTCCTCTGAATTTTTATGCATATGGACTTTATTCTAATGAAGCCTCTTAATTTTCCATACGGAAGATTAAAAAATATATATTTGTATCTTAAAAATGTTGTCATTTCACCTTAAAGTGTATCTAATAAACCTTGATATGTTTCTTTATCCAACAAAAAACGTTTAAATAAAGGCTCATGAAGAATATTATCACATTGTACACACTGGTGAGATTATTTCTAGTATGACTTAAACCTAATACTTTTAACAGTCTCTGATAAAGATAGGGGATTAAAACAAATCCCTCTGTATATAAATATTAGAGAGAAGCTTTGAATTGAGAACTTCTCCATTCTTATATATATGTTTGGGTGAAACACATTCTTTCCATATTAGAAACTATCAGCTATATACTTATCTATGATTGAAAACATTGCTCAGTAAAACCATCTGCTGCTTTTTAGGGTATCTGAGTTGTACTGTCTATAAGGATCAGTTTAGTGTGGTTTGTTTTTAGGTCGGTAATGGTTTTATTTTTGTTATTCAATGACAACAAACAGCTAATAAATATTCTAATAGCAAATGTTTGATATTTATATTACTATACATTTTTACTGGCCTTTGGTTATTCATAAACTTTCCTGCTTGGATGTGGGATTTAAATGTGAGTAAATCCACATTCAATTTTTTTTGTTGCAAATTTTGAATTGGAAATAATAATTGTGGATTTTTAAATGGCGTATAATAATAAGGTTATAAGATACTGTGAATAAAAAAGAAATGTAGCGTTAACTTTCAAGTCTTATCTGATGACACGAGTACCAGCGACCCCGTGTGTCAAAACGACCTCACATCTTTTTTTTTTGCATATCCTGTTTGACTGCTGTGACTCAGTGGATGATGGTGACGACTGTCGGTGAGGAACTAAACCGGAGCTGCGCTGATGGTTTCACCGCTGCACGTATTTTAAAGGTAGAGTAAAAACCAAAAACAAAGAGATAATTAGAATACATTTAATCCTTCATATGAAGTCAAAGCGGACATATTGTGCTGTATCACGAATAAGTACTCGCGAGATGTAAGGCTGGTTTGGCCACGACACCTGCTAGTAGCTCAGCTAAGTCAAACAGCTAATTCAACACCATTGCAGGTGTAGTCGGTAACATCTGCGTCGATTTATTTTTTAATAGTTTGCGTTGCGTTATTTGTACTAACATATGGCAGGATATTGAGATATTTTCGTTCTCCCCGGGCGTGTCCTACGAATGCTGTGTCTGCGTTCTAATTGAATTCGTTCTTAATAAGTACCTGGCATTTTCTGTTCAGTCCTGACTCCCAGAGGTCGTAGGTTTCTGATCCCTGTGTCAGTATCAATGATGGATTAGTGGTTTTTAGCTTTTGGTTCGTCAGCTGATCAACCGAGATAAGAGTCTCTATCACCGCTGCCACTGCGGGTCTGGAGAAAACAGCTGTTTACTCGAAACCTACCAAAACAGCTGTTCGATTTAATACGATGATGGCTACTCAGGGTGTAGTTGTAGTAATTGGTCATCTTTTTATGCGGCTCTCTAAAATACGAAATTAACTTTATACATTTTTACTTTTTCTAGTGTCTTTATTGGTCCCAGCCTTTAATGTTAACGAGGCATCTGAGTTGAATCATGACAGATTTACTTGTGACATTTCCTGCATCATTCATTTGTCTTGTCTGCATGTCTTTTCCATCTGTTCCAGGAAACAAAGAATACCTAATGATGGATGGGTAAGTGTAATTTTAACATTAAGCAAAGTAAACTTTCAGTTAATAAATAATACTAGGAAGTACCAACAATTATTTTGTTACACAGAAAATCTTTAAAACATTTTTAAATTGACTCAGTGGTGGCTTAGGGGATAAGGAAGTGGACTAGGGTCTGGAAGGCTTCAAGTTCGAATCCATCTGCCAAGTTACCACTGAGGTGCTCTGATCATGGCACCGTCCCCACACACTGCTCCCTGGTCCTTAAAGCTGCCCACTGTTCACTTTGGTGATGGGTCAAAAACAGAGGTCACATTTGGTTGTGTTCAGTGGTGAGCTGTGTCACAATGACAAGGAGTTCACTTTCACGTTTCACTTTAAAAATGCTGTGATCACGTAGGGCAAGGGTACACAGTAAGCAGACTGCGGTCCAGTAGAGAAAGTTCAATCCGGCTTGACGTGAAATGGTTTAGGTTAGGATGTAACCGTGCACGATTCTGAGAGCTGTGCACAAGATACGGCCGACCGTACGGACATCACAGTACATGATAACCTTCAACTGAAATGGTGAATTTGGCTCCCATGAAAAATGGCGTGATGTTTATACGGTGGTCACGTCTCATTGGCTCCCATGAAAAATGGCGTGATGTCACGTCTCGTTGGGCTCAGGAGCTTGGCTTCCTCCCTGGGAGAAGCAGGAGTTCTGTAATCATGTACCCCTGACCAGGTGGCTAACTGTGGTTGCTAACTTTCCCAGCTTCACTTTTTAAATAAGAAGGATATGTCAATTTCTTTTCCACAATTTCCATGAACACATGAACATGAACTAGTCTCTGTCTGAACCACTGTTTTATATCTAGGTTTGGGGGCGACATCCTGAGTGGCGGTCGAGCTCTTCTGGGCGAGGACAGCTCTGTGATGGCTCGCATGCAGAAAAAGTTCTGGAAAACCAAGCAGGTGCTGATCAAAGCCACTGGCAAGAAGGAGGATGAGTATGTGGTGGCCTCGGATGCTGACCTGGATGCCAAACTAGAGGTAGGAGCTCATGGACCTTCTCCTTCAGAGTTATCTTTAAATACAGGTACCATACTGAAACAGACATTTCTATTCACCACGTACACTTTTCCACATAATTAACTATAAACCTTCAGATTAACTTCCAACCTTAGTTTTTCTGTTTGATCCCATAGCCAAGCATGTAATTCTCAATTCCAGCTATTTCATTTTAGCATTTAGGCGTCATGTCTAGTGATTTACCTTCCTGTGAAGCCTGGTTTCCGGTGTCTGGACTAGCTTATCAGTTTCCTTCTTTTCAGCCTTCCTGTATTTGTTTTCCGTTCTTGTAGAGCCATTATCTTTTTGATAAAAGTACATACATCTCTAAAAGTTAATGTTAAGGCGGTGTTACTTTCAGACTGTGCCTGTAATGAAAGTGTGTAAAGAAAACTAGGCTGAAACGAAGGCTGGCTTGTTTTTGTTATGAGCTGCACGGAGGACACACACACTCACACACTTCTCTCTTTATGTATACAGTGCTACCGTTCTAAGTGCACTTTGTTTGCACTGTGGCTTTCTTGCTGATAAGTTCTATTGCACGTTAATAGGTGGCACTAGAGCGCCCCTAGTGTTGAACGTACAAAAAGCTGCCTCACATCTGTGCAGTCCTGAGAAACAGGGCTGCTCTGAGAGCTCTTTGTTTGTCCTGATAAAGATCAGCCCTCCAGTGTGCTCCAGCTCCAGCTCCAGCTCCAGCTCCAGCTCCTGATGGGCCCCTCATTGTTTTTGTCCCAGAGAGGCAGAAACAGAATGAGCTCATAGGGGAGGGCGATGCTAAAGGTAAAGAAAATCAAGGAGGACCAGGTCTGCTAAATTTGTTGAATCTTTGTTTTTTAACGAACTCCGCCTATATTTGTCAAATACCTCTTCTCCTGAAGGTGAAGTAGGCCAAACTATTTTGAGGCTTTTTTCCCACTCAGTTTAATGACATAGGGTTATTACACAGGTTATTACCTAAGTGTCTCCACCATAAAATTATGTAGATGGATTTATTTTCAGTTTGCACAAATGTCACAACATTGCCTAAAGCAAAGAAGTTAGCAATGGTAGTATGGATAAAAGTGACTCACAGCATGGCTTACTGTTTGCTGTAACAAAACAAGCAACTTCAGGAGATGTCGAAAAGTGAACTCTTTACCCGGCTAGTTCGTCATAATAAACTAGGCTGAAGAAACGATTCAGAGCATGGCTATGGTTTTGGTCAAACCTCATGATAATCTACTGACTGTTGTGTTGTGTGCTGGCTGTGCTGTAGCAGGGAGCAGTAGGTGGCACGTTGTTTGACTTTGACAGGTGTTGGTCTTTTGTGGAGGTGGTGATTGTTTGTTCTGGAGTTGATCAGTAACTCCACATCATCTCTGCTACGGTTTAATGTTGGCTTTATATTGTGTAATCGGACCTTGTCGAACAAGCAGCGCAAGAGAAGCTGTGTGTTGATGAGCTCGCTCAGCTCCGTGAGTCAGACTGGACCAGGAAGGAGGTTGAGCTGAAACGTGATGGTTTTGGATCGAGTTACTGACTGGAATGTATTAAATATAGTTTGTCAAATGTTAAATACATGTATAGGATTTTTCAGTATGTATGTGTATACGGTATTTATATATAAATACACTTATATATATATATATCTACGTATAAACATACAACCTGAAAAATGCTATACATGTATTTAACATACTTATCTTTTACTTTTGTTGACCTAATCTGAAGGTTTGTGGTGAGAATATACATGTTGGACTGCAGAATACTGTTTATTACTGTATTTGTGAATACTGTCAAATGAAAAAATTCAAAATCGGAAAAAAAACGGTCGATGCACCTCTAAATAATTCAGCTGTCAGAGCTCACTGCATCCCTTTTAATGTGAAAACCTTAGTCTGTACGCTAACTTTGTCATAATCAATATATAAGATAAGACTTTACTCATCCCACACTGGGGAAAGTCCCTTGTTACAGCTGCAGGATAGACCTGTAGTAGGAACAGTAACAGCAGGGTACACACAGTATAATACACTGTTATTATACTGTAGTGTATTGAAATGATGGGTTTGAAGAACGTTTTTTTTCTGATGTCCGATGATAATGAACGTTTTCCCTAATGTCCACACAGTTCTTCCGCTCTGTTCAGTCCTCATGCACAGAGCTGCTGAAAGTGATTGGAAAATACCAGCACAGGATCACACGTGAGTGCAAGTGCATTTACAAAGATCCTTAGCTCTTAATAATGGCTCCCAGGTATTAAAGTTGTCTGAGCCTTGTAGTGAAAGCCACGATTGAAATATTATTCCTTCATATCTGTTCACATTTCATTTCTTGCCCTCTGAAGATTCCAACCTTTCTTCACAGTCTTGTCTCAGGAGGAGAACGAGCTTGGCTTGTTCCTACATTTCCAAGCTGAACACGACCGCAACAAGGCTGGCAACATGATGGACGCCACCAGCAAAGCCCTCTGCTCCTCAGCCAAACAGAGGTGACGTTAGGAATTAACGCCCATGTATCTCTTTCATCACCTTCTGGCATGTTCCAAACTAAAACTAAAACGATTCTTTCCGTACAAAGGATGGCGCTCTGTGCACCCCTGCACCGTTTGTACCAGGAAGTGGAGACTTTTAGAAGACGTGCCATCGCGGACACACTGCTGACGGTCAGTCGCATGGAGACGGCCCGCACAGAGTACAGGGGCGCTCTGCTCTGGATGAAGGACATTTCACAAGAGCTGGACCCAGACACATACAAACAGCTGGAGAAGTTCCGCAAGGTACCAGGAAGTTGCGCCGAGAAGTCGGGCAGACGATCAGTCGGTGTTGTAACTTCCTGTGTGTTTGTCCTCAGGTCCAGGCCCAGGTCAGAGGCTCAAAGGGTCAGTTTGAGAAGCTGAAGAATGACGTGTGTCAGAAGGTTGACATGCTGGGAGCCAGTCGCTGCAACATGCTGTCACACTCGCTCTGTACCTACCAGGTGAGTTTCTTTTTATCTAGGCTTCAGTAGAAGTGGCTGAAAAGACAGGTGGAGGTTCATGGATGTTCAAGATGCTGTTCTTAAACTTCATCAAAGCATCCGGCTGTCATCTCTGTTCAAAACTGGCTGCTTGGAATTTTTAGACTGTCATTTCTTTAGCTCTCTGCCCCACTGCCCACACTGCAGCTGTGTGAAGCATCACCAAAAGATCCAGTTTCTCTCCTCCTTCAGACTGTCGCTCTATTTTTCCGTCTGTTTCTTCTGTCCCACTGACAGACCACTCTGTTACACTTCTGGGAGAGAACTGCCAACGCCATGTCTGACATCCACAAGTCCTTCCAAGGACACGTGCCATATCAGTTCACCACACTGAAGGTCAGTCCTGATTTACAACAAATTCAACCATTGACATTTTACAGATAAATATAGAGGATTACTGATTAGATGACACTGTGTTTTTTCTCCATGCCTTCTTCTCCAGGATCTGAGGGACCCTCTGGAGCAGATCACAGAGCTTCAAAAAGGCATGGATGAACAGAATATTCCTCCACCAGACAAGTGAGAACACACAGGTCCACACTTGGTTTCATGATCCTAAAAACTAATGTTTCCCCTTATTTAATTAATAATTTTATTTTTCTCTCCTGCTTACCTGTTATTTTGTCAGTCTGGTTTCCTTGGATGACGGTAAGAAATCTTGAGCCCACTTTTTACTGCTGCTGTCCACTTTTATAGATGACCCCTGATTTCTTGGTTACATTCTTGTTTTTCCTCCTTCCTTCCAGATCCCACCGTGGACTCTGAGAAGGACAGTAAAATTAGTGACTTTGGTGAGTCTGGGTTTCTTCAAAGTCTTAGAAAAGGTTCTGAAGAGGCCGAATGTTAATGTTGTTCCACCAACAAACCCAATGCTGAACATCCGGTTCTACATATAACAAGATACTAAAAGTATTTTTATGCTGAACATCCGGTTCTACATATAACTAAAACTAAGATACTAAAAGTATTTTCCCAGGATACTTTTCAAGGATGCTAAAGCATCATGGGAGCCACATGACAGTTTTTCAGCTACACCTTCACTGGCAAAAAACATTTACATTTAAACTTAATTAATTTTGATTTCTCACCAAAAAAATTATATTTTTTCTCTTTGAGTATGTGTGTGTGTATGAGGCTAAAACTACAATGTAAATCCTTTAGCAGTTTAAGGGGACTGTAAAAGTAATTTTTCAGAAAATAACTTGTCATGTAAATTTCGGTTATTTAAAGTTAAAAAGACGTTAAAGGCCGTTTTTGTTTTGAAAAATTGTGCTCATTCAAGGGTAGCATGATGAAGAGCTGAAAGAGTTTTGAAATAGTTCAGTAATGGTTTCATGGCACGAAAGAGGGAATAAATACCAAAAAAGGAAACACATTGGCCAAGTTGTTATTTTAAACGTTGGTATTGGCCCAAAATGTCACAATCGGTGCACCACTCATTGTAACTTTATATTCACCTTCTTTTGCTGATTCTTGTTTGGATTCATCTTTGATGTCAGCTCGACCGAAAGCTTCAGCAGCATACGCAGCTATGGCTGATCACAGTAGAGCAGCAGCAGCAGCAGCAGGTGGAGCTGGAGCTTCTAATGCAGACCTCCTGCTCATGTCCTGTGAGGAAGCACAGCCTCAGCCTCCGTGTCCCCTCCAGGCTGGAGACCAGTCACAGCTGTGGAGCCTGTCACTGCCTCGCTCTGCTGGTAAACCGCTCTCCAGTGTCTTCTCCTTTTTCTACTACTTTCAGCTTTGACTTCTGACTTCAGCCAACTTTCAACTTCAACAAATTCTTTCGTTCTGAAGCTTCTTCTCTTCTTGAAGCCAGACAATCAAAAGTCTTTTCAATTCTCTCATTCTGGACTTAAAGTGGACCCAGATCCGTCAGCTGTGTGGTGAAGGTCCAAATGGTCCTAGACTGGACCGTCAGTTTCTGCCTCCATATTCTGATAATTCTCTCAGGATCCTGGTGCCGTTCAGGTCTACAGTCTGTTTAAAACCATCTTTTTTTTCTGTCCTTTTGTTGTCCACTTGCCCCCGCAGAGACGTCACTGAGACCAGAGGAGGAGGACGGTGAACTCGGGGACATGTCTTTCCTCTCAGATCTCTTGAGCCCAGGTCCAGCGTCGAGTGATGAATTTAGCAGAGAGTGGCAGGAAGCCTTTGGAATGTTTGAGTCCCAAAAAGTAGAAGCAGGAGGACCAGCAGCAGCATCAGCACGAGGAGGACACGAGGAGGAGCAGAAGCAGCAGCATCAGCAGCACCAGCACGAGGAGGAGCAGAAGCAGCAGCATCAGCAGCACCAGCACGAGGAGGAGCAGAAGCAGCAGCATCAGCAGCACCAGCACGAGGAGGAGCAGGAGCAGCAGCAGCATCAGCACGAGGAGGGGCAGGAGCAGCAGCATCAGCACGTGGAGGAGCAGGAGCAGCAGCATCAGCACGAGGAGGAGCAGAAGCAGCAGCATCAGCACGAGGAGGGGCAGGAGCAGCAGCATCAGCACGAGGAGGGGCAGGAGCAGCAGCATCAGCAGCACCAGCACGAGGAGGAGCAGGAGCAGCAGCAGCATCAGCAGCACCAGCTCCAGCACCAGCACCAGCACCAGGAGGAGGAGTGGCAGCAGGAGCAGCAGGTCTTCGTGGCCTGGGTGGCTTCCTGCCGTCACAGTTGCTTGACCAAAGTCTGAGCGCCACAGGTCAGACAACGCCCTCCACTGGAGAGGAGAGCTCTGTGCAGCACAAGAGTTAAAGACTGGAAATAACAAAGGACAAACGACAGTGTCTCTTTTCATCTCCTCTGTTTCTGCTTTGTGTTTTCAGGCTGGTCGACTCCGCCCATGTTCAAAGCTCCGCCCCTGCAGCTCCCCGCTGACCACAACCCATCATCTCAGCCAACTCCGAGTTCAGCTGCTAACGGTGAGTTTCCATGTCACTGAATTTGGATCTCAGGAATGATATGTTTATGAAGTAGTGGAGTGATTCCAAGGTTCGGTTGGCGCTCCGTCAGGCCGAGAAGGTTCTACAGGTGGTCCTAGAAGAGGTTTAGAAAATAGATGATCATTTTAAAAAAATTAAACATTGTAATTTTTGTTTGACAATTTTAGCATCTCTTATCTTTGTATTGCTAGCACAAGATTAAAGACAATTTACTGATGGTATTTTACTGTGTACTGTACTCACGTACTTGTCTTTGTTTCTGTAGCACCAGCAGGTGGCTCCAAAGACATGTCTGCATGGTTCAATCTGTTCGCAGACCTGGATCCTCTGTCTAACCCAGACGCTATTGGACGGTCGGCAGATGAGCTGCTCAACGCCTGAAGGTCGTCCGTGTGTGTTTGTGTCACACATGAATATGTTAGCAAGCAGATATTTTAAAACACTAAAAGAAAAACACAGATGGTTGTTAAAAACTGTAAAGTGATCTTCAACACTGGACAACAATGCTACTATTAGTGCCGTCATAAGATCCTTGTGCGTTTGTGTGTGCACAGCAGAGTGGATGTTGGGATTGCGGGGGTTAATTCAGGGTTAACTCATGCTTTGCTTTTGTTGCCTTGTTTTTACATTGAAAAACAAATGTAAAACTTGATTAACCACAAACATTCTATTTACTTCAACTTTGCCTTTTAATTTAACTGGAGGAGTTAAACAGATGATTAAAAAAACATGGCAGTTCTTTTTCCAATAAACTGTACAAGCAAACATCGAGTCCTTGTTTGAGTTTTGTTCCAGAGATGTTGTTCAGTTGGGCACACCTGTAATATCTGTTCATTCAAGCTACTTTAAAAAGAAAATTGTTGATGGTAACATCATTTTGGAAACAGACTCTCAGACCTTCACACAGTTGTGTTTACATCACCATCGGTCCAGGGTGGTCTCATATGTCCCTGCTCCAGGTTCACGTAGTGATGCTACAGCAACAAACTAGTTTGTGTACATCAGGCTCACAAAAATAAAATACAACAAAACATTGATAAAAGTCTAGTGCAGTGGTTCTCAACCCTTTTTTGGCCTGTGATCGCACTTTAACTTCACAAACTTCCGGCGGCTCCAGAAGAATTTTAGTAGCTGTCACTCGTGCAGTCAGCTGTCAATCAAGCTTTGCCGACTCAGATGGTTCTATATGCTGCATTTGATTTGATTTCAGTTTATATTTATGAACGTGAAAACATACAGTTGTTTAAAATTCAGTGTGAGGTTTTTAATCACAATTCTAATCAGATTAATAATTAGTTGAAAGGAAAATGTTATCAGTCATTTTTTTAATCAATAACTCAGGATTTAAAAACACTGGTCTTCCTATGACAGTGGCCTGGTCAAAGTAGAAAAAAGTATATATAAATAACAATATGCCAAAGAAGGAAATCATTATAGGGCCAAAATTTAGCAGGATGACTAGAACCAAAGACAACTAAATGTCAAAGACATAGTATTAGACTCAAATTGGAAAAAAAAAACCCTTGAATGTTTCCATGACACGTTGTTCAAGAAAGAAAACGTTTAAATAAGTTAATTTCCCAGCCTGGTGTACACCAAACCGTGTGTCCTTCATTTGAGATTTCTCCACCAATCCCACTGCTTCCACATCAATAAATACGTAATCATTCACAATAATAACACGCAGGTATTCACAGTAGTATAAGAGGAAGAGGAAACGAACAGGAAGCTATAATCAGCTGATTATACAAACACAGTGTACCTCCATATTTACAGAGCCCCAAACATTCCTGACCCACTGAGGCAGGCACAGAGTGGAGTGCTGATGACACGTACAGAGGGGCAGGATCTGGGCACGGAGAGGCAGCACACACACTTTTAACACACCACAACTCTGTCCTAATCTCTCACACACCAAACATTTCTCTACAAGCCAGCAGCAGGTGGCGCCAGTAGAACAATAATCCAGGGGAACAGCTGGTCTACTGTACCAGTCCAGCAGTCGTACATATCAGATGGTGTCTCTACTGTCCCACCTGCAGCTAAAATCACAGGCCCTCAGCAGCCCACAAAGTGGATCGCATCACAAGTTGGATTTAAACACAAGCCCCTAAAGTGTGGGCCGATGTCTGCTTTGGTAACACAGAAACACAGACTGGCCCAGAAATGGGCCACACAATCTCTTTTAATTAGCTCACATTCTGTGTTAAATTTACAGGCCTCGTGTAGCCCATACTACTGGTACCCAGTGGCCCACATGAGGTGTACAAGATTCAAATTCTTAATCTGATTGCTTCGCCCAAACTGGTTATTTTTTGGGCCTAGTGCGTAGCTAGGCGTGTAGAACGTGTGACCCACGTTCCCAGTGGCCCAGATGTGGGCCATTTAAAGCTCACAGTTCATGGATATTGTTTGACCAAGTGAAACAATGTTGTTTTGTGGTAACGAGAGGATTGGCTCACATAAATAATGGGCTACATCCCACAACAAACTTTTGGACCTCTTTCTTGAACTTCATTGGCCCAACATTGTGTGGGTAGGATTGTGTTGGCCAGACTGTGAATGCAGATGCGGGCCATTGAATATTAGATATTCACCACCAATTTAATACAAACTAATTCACATTTTCAACGTACAGAAATGTACATGATGTGTCTTTGGCGGTACCACATTTGGTACCCACTAACTGGGTCACATCATTTGGCTCAATTTTGGTGAATTAAATGTTTGTGTTTCTGGTTTCAAGATGAGTGACTGATAAATTGGTGTGGGCCAAGTTTTGACTGTGTCTGTATTCTTTTTCATCTGGTGGCCAAATGTTGCAATATCAGGTACCCAGAATGTGGGCAGCACCTCAGGTCCAAACTCTTGTTGCCAGCTGACTGGCAGACTAGATGGACATAGTTACAGTTGATGTGAAGAGGCAGACATGCTGTATCTGGATTGTGTTTCCTGGGGATCCAGACTAGCCACCTGAGGGGCACAAATATTTGGTCTAAATTTGCCCTCTGGTATAGTGGCTCTGCCCAGTTACAGGCAACAAAGTCCTTTTCACATAACCCACATATAAGACAGGTATATGGGCCTTACCTCAATGTGTGGCCCAGATTTGAGAAGCCTGATGTGGGCTTGTATCTGGGTCAGTTTCAGCCATAAAAGAAACAGTTTTGATTCAGCTTTGTGGTACGCATTCTGCGGGCCAGATTTTCCTCTAGTTAAATGGGTCACTCCAGCCTGTAAATAATGGCTGTGTGTGGCACAAAGACTTTTCCCGGATGTGGCTTTACATGGAATCAGTTCCCTTATGCCAGGGCTGGCCAAACTGGTCCACAAGGGGCCGCTGTGGCTGCAGGTTTTTATACCAATCAAGCAGGAGCAGCACACCTGACTCCACCCATTTAATCAATTGATCTCAGTCTTCCGACAGCTGATTGGTCGAACTGTGTGCCCTTGGTTAGTTGGAACAAACACCTGCAGCCACACGGCCCTTTGAGGAAGAGTTTGGACATGGACGTGCCTGTCTTATGCTCTATGAGCCCTGTTCTCTAGTGTGTATCTATGTCCATCAGAGTACTGAGCTCATCACTGCCCTCTGCTGGTTTGGAGTAAACTGAGCCATCTAGAGTATCAGGCACGTTTTTTTTTTTTTACTTTTCTTCTTGGTCTTTTAAGATTTGCTACAATTGTTATATACAGTTCATGTGGCAGCACCAAAATGAGCCTCGGTGACCAAAAGAGTGGTCAAACTGTTGGTCAGAAAGAAAACCTGCAGCCATTTGTAATCATCCAAGGCATTTCTTATAACAAGAGATGTAAAGACACAAAAAGATATGTTTGTGGAACAGTGCCATGGTTTGATGGACTGAAATGAAAGAGTTTCTCCTCTGAAATCCTTCCTCCCCCCCCTTCCACAGGAACAGGAAGTGTATAAAAAGCAGTGAAATGTGTTGCGGGAGGAGGAGAGGCAGTGGGAAGCACTTCGTCAACTAAAGAAAGACCTCAGATCAGAGAGTAGCTGGCATGCTGAAGGCATTTTTGGAGCAGAAGCATTGATTCCATTGTTTGTGATTTCAGAGCAGGCTGACTTAGTTGTGGTGGTTGGAAAGAGCCGTCAGAAGCTCTCTGGCTCCTCCAGGAGGCAGGGCTGGGTGGACAGAGGCACCAGGGACGGGGACAGGCTACGCAGTCCCACGCCAGGGCGATAACTGAGCTCAGGGGCGGGGAGTAAGGGCTTGAGGATGCTGACGAGGCAGAAGGCCGAGCCGCTGTTAGGAATGAAGTTGACTTTGTTGCGGTCGGGACACAGGAAGGGCGGGACCTCCTGCAGAGGCTTCGTTCTGGAACAACAACAACAACAACAGCAGCACATACAAGGTGTTGGAGTTACTGGACTTCTTCTACCCATCAACCTACTGTCATGCTTCCTTCTACTGTAGCTTCTTAATGTATAACCTTGAGGATGTTTGGGAGTTTTGTTAGGAAGTTTGGCTAAATGTGACTTTTAAATATTGATCAGAAATATCGTTTTTTTGCTGTTATAAAGTTCAGAATTAGAATTAAAACTTGATTTTTCAAAGGTTTACACTAAGGTTTACAATTTTAAAAATGTGCTTTTAGCAGCATTCTTTTTCTTTCAGAGCTTTTTTCATGATTTTAAACTATTTTTGAAATATATTTTGTCATAATTATCTTTCTACAAGTATTTGAGGAAAATTCTTCCTAACTTTAAGCTGATTCTCTTTATTATTCTATATTTGGAGTAAATTTTATTACCGTTTCGAAAAACTGATCTCACTGACATTTATATTTGACCTGGCCATTTTCTTGGTATCTGTTATTTATTGTCACTAAACTGTAGATATTTTCCCTCGTTGTTTAATCTCTTTTGGAATATTTCTATAAATTGTTTTGGTCAACTTTCACCTTTTGAAGTCTAAATTGTAGCCTAAATGTTTTGCCATTTTTACTAACTTTGAGCTATTTCTAGTTCACCTTTTGGTTTTAAGCTTTCTTCTAAAATGTTTATTTTATTTTTTATTAAATGCGGATTGTTAGTAAACATTTTTTAGCTAATTGTTTTACCTTAAACATTTCCCTGAATTTTCTTTAGTATATGGTATTTGACCTTTTCTGGGCTAACTTTGACTTCTTCGTTCTACTCACATGGAGTCTTCAAACACTTTGACCTTCTCACAGCCCTCTGGTGGTTCTCTCTTGAACATGTAGCTGTTGTTTGGCCTGGGGGAGGCGGCGTACTTAGGCAGTGGGGAGCAGGGGCTCAGCTCTGAGGACGACACCAAGTCAGTTATATGTTTGTGTGTATTTCACTGTACCGTATTCACAATAAGGCATGTAGCAAAAAAGCCAAAATCAGTCAAATTTAAAAAAGTAAAATTTAAAAAGTACATATAAAATAAATTCTTAGTCAATAGTTTGCCAAATTACAAAAAGAAAAGTCAAACCTCAGTCAAAAAGATAAATAAATATTTTAGCCAAAGTATGTTTAGATATTTTAACCCTTTGTGTCTTTCTGTGTCTCTGTTACCTTTGTCCTCATAGGGACTTCCTCCGCTGCCGTGCCCCAGGTCACTGAGGACGCTGAGGTAGGAGGGTGAGATGGAGTCAGGGCGGCTGCTGCAGTTGCTGTGGTTGCCGCTTAAGCCGCCACCTGATGGCGTCTGCGTGTCAATGCTGCGGGTGCTACTGCTGCGTCGCGGCGGGACGGGTGGAGGGGCGCGGTGGCCATCTGGAACATCCTGTGGCTGCACACACAAACACACACAGACAAATAAGATGATAATAATAATGCAGATGTCCTAATCCCAGGCCCAGTGGTGGGGCGTGGACCAACACTGACCCAGATGAATGAACCCTGGATATTCAGCTGAAAACTCACCACAAGGGTCTCTTCCTTCTCTGGGGTGTCTCTGATGATGATGCGTTCTATCTCCTGGTTCAGACCCTCAACACTGTTGCGGAAACGAGGGGCAGAAGACTTGGATATAGGGATAGGAATTAGAATAGTCTTGGGCATAGACGTCTGCAAAAAGAAAAAAGAAAAAAACCATGAAGACATAGTGATGGACCAAACCAGATAGAACACCAGTCCTAAAGCCTAATGACTGGACCACACAGCCACTTTCATCTGGCCCAATACACTTCTGGCCCAGAGCTCAGTGTCTCAAACTTGTGGTTTCCATAATCGGACACACAAATGCATTTTAAATTAATCTGAGGTCTACAGACTGAGTAGCAGAATATTTCACATTTTGTATTTTCTGAGTCCAATGACCCTAATTATTAGGTCAATATATTTTACAAGACATGTTAGTGATTTCAGAATTTTTTCAAGCCTCCCCCGACTGACCGTAGCTCATAGTACACCTTGAACCGCAGATCATTCAGTACAGTTGTTATGGAT